AAACGTATGCTTATAATCACCGCCAACGCAGGTTAATCAAAGATGTCGTTAGACGCGCGTTTACCAACCACCGCCTCTCGCCCAGTTACCAGTCCACGTCGGGTATGGGATTAGTTAGCCAGTTTTAGTTTTAGATGCACGGACTTGATGGTGGAGGAAGCCGAAACCGACCGGCGGTTACGTGGACCACCCTATGCTGACGAGAAGTTCAGCAATCCTCTCGAAGGTAACTATCCCCACGGATTCGAACCTATAGAAGGTAATCAGAAATGCGGTGACGAGCGCATTACTAACGCTCAAGCTTCGCCTGACCACCAGCTAGCAACAAACGCGGAACAACAAGGTGCGCAATTTTCATGACTTCATCGAAATATTTCAAATAAATATTTGCAATATATACCTTCTATCGACAAATACAATGTTTGACCACTAAAAATTTCAATTGGTCGAATAATTAATGAAAAAGGGGATTTTCTCATTACAACAAGAAGAAAAATACCAACAACAACAACAACAACATAATAACACAAGAACAACAACGACATATTAACAAAACGATCGTTAAGCACATTTCGTGTCCAACTAGTGAACGATGCTTACATACATGGACAAAAGGCCAAAACGAAGTGGTACGGGTTAATCTGGCATAGAATACTACCGGTACCGTAGTCTTTGCGACTTCGCCTGACCACTAACGCAAAACCACCACAAGGTGCGCAATTATTTTCAATTTTGATGACGTGTCGCAAAAAGGGATTTCATAGAGCCCTAAAAAATCTATCCACAGGTTTGCGTAAAATAAAACATTGGCAAATTGATTTGAAAGCACAGGTTGCCGAAATGTCGCAATGAAGTTAATGATACGATACCCGAATTGACAGTGGAAATGGTGCATTGGTGCGTATCTGCACTTGACAGTAATCATACAAATATATATATTATGTATTGATTTGAGCTCTGCTCAAGTTAATTGTTTTCGGATGCGAGTAGACCGGAAAAGGAAATCGCATGCTTTAACCGACATTGTGATTCGCAATAATTTGGCGAATGAATCGTGACCATGAATTTATACCTTATGTTTTTGAATTTGGTGTTGAAAAAATTTATAAAAAACTTTCTTGTATCGTGTACGGAATCAAAATAACCCGTGATATGGAGCCTATTACACGATCCTTTTTTCTATTATTATATAACTTTTTATGTTATGTAAGAAACTAAGTGAAATACTGAAGGCATTCCATTAAAAGTTACTGGTTCAAATGAAGTAATGACCTTAGTTTAAACAACAAATCAGTTCATATGATAAACTATAGACGTGTCATTTTAACGGATATGCACATTCAGCTACACACTACCGATAACTAGAATCGGGAACGCTCGTCGTGTACGTGAATGTTGTTTTCCACTTGATTTGTCATGATACTCCGCAAACGTCTATGAAAGTATTATGGTATAGGGATAAACTTCGGTCAGATTATGCAATACTTTATAACATTTTTCACAATGGATTATGTATGATTTATCGTCGATTATGATGACTAAAACTCACTGACTTCAAGTGAGATTGTCTTTCCTTTTAGTCAGGACATAGCAGAAAAGATGTATTTCGTCTCGGTTCAAGAAGCCAATTTGATTCATTTGTCGCACAAGTATTTTTGCAATATCTTATATCAGATGAATACTTTCAGATAGGAACTGTGTTCAAAAGGGAACAATCGAGTAGCAATGATAAATCTCGTTCCGCCCTTCGGTACGTATATTGCGGGGTTCCATTACATTTGAACCCACGTACATTTGAACCCATGACAATTGCACCTGTATGCTATTGCACCTATGGAATTTTTTTTGTTTCACGGATAGTTAAACCCATACTAACCCTAACCCATGGGTTTTAGCACCCGCATATAGATTGAACCCGTGGATATACGCATGGGTGCAAATGTACATGGGTTCAAATGTACGGTCACCATATTGCGGTAATGCAACATAGCTATATTCGCAAACACGTTACATCGAGATGCCTGCGGAAGATAATTATTCTACCGGATGTCACGCATTCAACGTTTGCACAAAGTTTTGACATTAACTGCTAGCTTAAGCTTCATAAAATTATGGCAAAACGTACAAAATATGAATCAGATTGCGATTTTATCAGCGAATAACGGAATAATAAAGAATGAGAAAGATTGCTTAACAATTTTCTACCCAACATGGAACTTTATTATGCCAATCCCAACATAGGTATTCGTCACAGTATCTACATTTGAACATTGTCTCGCATAGTTGAGGCAAGTATTTGCCTGAAGCAGCAGGATTGACTTTTTTGCCATCTTGAAAATTTCACGACAAACAAGCTGGCGTTTTCTGTTTGCGCACGTCGTATCGTACGTTTAGTTGCTGTATATTTTCTCGGCATTGTTGGCGTTATTAATTTGATCTGTTATTGTAACATTGATCCCATTCTATTGCAGTCGATCGGTTATTTTCAAGATAATTGTTGAAAAATCCCAAGATTTGCAATAGAATCCCAAGGATATGAATTCATTTTCGAATAGAAAACTGATTGGTCACACGATATTGGCCGCGTTAAAATTCATTTTTTAAATATAATTTTAGAACTATCTATCAATGTTTGTATTGGAACTGTTACAAAATAATAATAAAAAAATCATGCAAGTTACTTTTAACTTGGCCCCCATTTAGTAAAGAAGACGAAAGCTTACTTATGTATTCAATTTCAGATAGCATAGAACAGGGCTACTCAACTATTTTTACCGAAGATCCGCATACAAAACTTCAAAATTATTTCGCTCCGGTCTTTCCAGAATTTATATATCGGCATTCTTAAAAACGCACACTTCCTCGACCGGCTAATGATTATTATTTAATCAAAATTGCTTATTATGGTGTTATAGTTCTTTTCATATATATTCAAAACTACAAGAGTCATTTTATAAAAGAAAACATTAAAAGTGGGGCTAATGATCTAAAATAAAGAATTAGGTGCGGTCCGAATCAAATACTCGAAAGGTCAGGATTCGGACCGCGGTCCGCCAGTTGAGTAGCCCTGGCATAGAACACAAGTTTCATAATTAATATTTTAGTACTCCCGTAGCATGTGTACCAGGTTAGGGTTAGGCCATAACACTATTCTGATTAGTTATATCACGAGTTTGAAGACTGTTTGTGTGCGCCAAGTGGATATACCCCCTGCCCATAGGTTTCAGTCCCTTTCTACAACCTGATGTAAAGTAGGCGAACAAAATTAGTTACCTTCATATTGGCACACACACTCCTGAAACGCGAATATTTTTTATATATATAAGGAACCAAAATCATAAGTTCTCAAAACCGCAAAATGTATGAGGCATAAGATGGCTCAAGAATATGGCGAATCACGGCCTCTCGCCCAGTTACCAGTCCACGTGGTCCATTTATTTGTTTTGGATGCATGGATTTGATGGTTGAGGAAGTCAAAACCGATCAGCGGTTACGTGAACCACACCATGGATTCGAACCCACAGACGGTGATCAGAGGTCAGGCAATTAGAAAAGAGGTTATAAAAATTTTACTATGATGAGATACGGGAGCTAAATTAGTTTTGGTTTCAGAATATCAGTCGATTTTGTACAAATCCAGTCGAGAATACGTCAGATTTGACAGCGAAGTGTTTGAAAATAAATCTTGGCAATTTTTACCGAAAACATTGCAACCAAGATAACTTTCCACATTTGAAATAATTTATGGTTTTAAATATGATACTTTCTGGCTCAACATATTTGTACAATCAATGTTTTTTTTAAATGAGCTTTATGAAATCTCACATCTGAAAATGGACTTCGAATTGCTAGCACTTCCATTAATTAAAGCAAATTTGGAAATGTAGTCGGGAAAGAGCAATCTGCAAGTTGGTGAGACAATATATTTAACGATACCGGGGTAGACAGTGAAAATGGTGCTTTTCCACGTTTCGACAGATGATAGTAATCATATATATATATTATGTATTGACTCGATCTCTAGTCAAATTGATTGTTTTCGGAAACGGGTTGACCGAAATAGGAAATCGTATGGTTTAACCACCATTTCAACAGATTGTGATTCGCAATGATTTGGCAAATGAATCGGGATCATGAATTGATGCATTATGTTTTTGAATTTGAAAACATTTATAAAAAACTTTTGCGTTCTACCAACTGCACTATCATCGTGTATAAAATCAAAGCAATCCGTGATATGAACCTGACAACACGGAGGCTATTCTAACGTATCCAATACACGATCTATAGTTGACCTTAGTTAAAACAACAAATCAGTTCATATATATGATAAATTATAGATTTGTCATATTAACGGATATGCACATTCAGCCACACACTGCCAAAAACGTTCGTCGTGTACGTGGATGTTGTTTCCACATAATTTAACGTGATACTCTGCAAACGTATATGGAAGAATTGTGGCATAAGGATAAACTTTATAACATTATGCAATACTTTATAACATTTTTCACAATGGATTATGTATGATTTATCGTCGATTATGATGACTAAAACGCACTGACTTCAAGTGAGATTGTCTTTCTTTTTAGTCAGGACATAGAAGGAAAGATGAGATGATTATTTCGTCTCGGTTCAAGAAGTCAATTTGATTCATTTGTCGTACAAGTATTTTTGCAACATCTTACATCAGAGGAATACCTCCGCATAGGAACTGTGGTCAAAAGAGAACAATCCTATGAAAAAAGATTTCAACAGTGCTAATGCACGGAAAACAACTATCACTGTCTGTTGACAGGGTGGTTGAATCAAATGATTTCCTGCCTTGTCTGCCTGTTTCCGAGAACAATTTACTTGCGCAGAGAAAAAATCGATGCATAATATGATTTATGACTTTATGCAGAAAACGATACCAATTTTTACTTATAATGCCTATTCAAGAGCATTTAACTTCATTCGGATATTCTGATACTTCATTGGGACAGTAGCTGCTCAATTTATACTTATTCAGAGTAAAAGATAGCTAACATTATGGATCGTGTTAGTGGTACTTTCAAGCAAACTATTTGAAACAGCAAAAATCAAAAAATTACTAGGTTAAAGCATAATTAATTTGGTTTGATAATTTTTTTACCTAAAACAGATTAATAGATTCGTTTATCTGAGGTAACACACTATATACCAGAAATTAAAATGAATGTAAAATTTCTAACTTGCTTAATTGCATTTATTCTGATCTTCTTGAACTCGTCAGTTATGGCATTTAATGCCAATGGATATAAAGAAGGTAAGTTGTAGCACTTGTATCATTTTATGAATTGTATGCATTGTTCAATATTAGCTAAAGGATTGATATAGTTACGCTGGTTATATGTATATGTACCAGTGGATATTTCAGCAATATCAATTTTACATCTCTTTACAGTGCCTCGTGAATCTATGGATCTGGAGAAGTTTGAGGACCTGTTTGAAGGTCAGAGTATTTCGATTTTATGTAGTTGAAAGGAAGTCCATCTTTTATAATTTTTTTTCGTTATCCTGACTCATTCTTTGAAATGTTTTCACAATATTCCTTTAGTACTAGATAAAATAAGCCATCGTTTTACGTTTCCAACATTTTTATTATGTGTTGTAAACCTTCATCGATTGTATCATGGTTCACGAAAGAAATTGTGACGCATTTCGCAATGCAACCTTGATCTGATTTCAAAACAGATTTTTGCCAACAAAATGATTTATCGAGTGTTGGTATATATATTAGAATAATAAACATACCGCAACTCAATAATGACGCTTTATTCATGTTTTCCTGCATTTTCAATTTAGAGAACCAGATTTGATCAAATGAACATTGAACAATGAAAAGAGGAGAGCAACGTGTTTTGTGTACTGTTAAATATAATACACCGATAATTGTTGTGTGATTCATATTAATTACCTCTTCGGAAGGAGTTTCTTTTATAAAGTGAGCATAAGAGCAGGATTTGCAAATGAGATACTTTTGAGAGATCAAAATCATACCTAGCAAAAATTACATTTTGGCTCTACGAATATTTCCTTCTTTTCGGATTAAATAAAATCGGGAAATCCAGTGTAACATCGCTCATTCCTCCACCAGAAAAGTGTGCATATTAGAGTCTAGTGTAGCCAACACTATGTTAAACTTTCGCATCAGGGAAAAAACTATAAAAAAAATCGAGCGCGTTGAAAGCCCAGTTTATTATATTCGGATCCTTGTGTGTATTTTATGTCAGAAACCTATAACTCATAATACACGCTTATAAAATGAAGTATAGGATAAATACCCATAAGGAGTTGAATGAACAAAAGACGACGTTATACGTAACATGGCATGGAGCCCCACAATTTCCATTCAAATATTTCATTCGGAAGATTGGGTGATCACCTCGCGCCGCCCTGTTTTGCGTGGGATTCTTACCTTTGTTATCTTTGTTATATTCATATTAGAATAGATGTCGATGTCTAAACAGCATCAAACTGCTGAGAGATAATGCTTGAAACCTTACGTTATTTCGTCGAATGCCTTTTCTATTACAATTAGTTTGTGTTATGACAGGGATCTGTTCCACTGAAAGTAATAACAGCAGTAATAAAATTATGCAGTCTTCCTAGAACTTTGTAATTAATATATATATTTAATAGATCTGTTTATAGGCGATAGGTCTTCCTGTGATGTTACCTTGCAAGATTTTCTCCTAGTCCAGGGTATTAGAAATATGCATTTGGACTATAACTCTCACTGACGGTCAACAATAAATGTAAAATCGCACCCCCGCGAAAAAAATTGAATATGTGAGAAAACGTTTATCTTGGAAAAACTCTCAGTTAAAACTACTTCACGGTCCTTCAAATATATAAGCAGTCCAGACATAATATTCCTAATCTCTATATATATTATACTTTTGGATACTATACAACCTCGAAATTACAATTGCAAAAGTATGTATAACAAAACGACATTAGCGTTCATATTTTATATAAATATGTGACAGATTGAATCATAGACACAAATATTATAGACTGAGTTAATACTTGAGAAACGATAAATAGATCGTATTGAATCTCAAAATCCAACTTACCCTCGAACATTTTATCAAAACGTCCCAGATCCATAGGTTTTTGAACATCTGTGAAAGACAAAACATGCATGTTTTTGAATAATCAAATGCGTCTTTGGTTAAAACCCTTTTTCCTAATTCTATTATGTATGAAGGTATGTATGGTATGGATTCGAATAAATATTATGCCCGGTGATATGGACAATGAGGTATAGTCTCATAATTATATTGTCATTGTTGGTTAGAGACCTTTGATTTAAGTCGGTTGCGGTTTTTCCATTGAAGCTTAATATAACATATCTTAATTAATCGAAAAATTCGGTTTAGGTCAAGCTTTCAAGCTAAATACGATCTTCTCTCAACTCCTATTTCAAAGTTATCTGGTGAATACCATATGAAATAGTTATATTTTATTTAGCTCTACCTAGCATCTTCCCATAATGCTACTTATCCTCGTCTCAGTTATTGCAAAGATATTAAGCCTATCATAAATACGACTTCAGCCTAACTCTCGGTATAAAGAAATAACCCTCGATTAGGCAACCTCGATTGTTGCGAGACATGAAACATCCCTTACCCTTCTTGAATCCGTGATAAAGCCCGGTGACTGGGGAGTTGCAGATTATCAACAGTATGAGGATGAAACAAACAAGAAATTGAAGTTTTGCATCCATGTTGAGTCTCTTGTGTTTCTTTACAAATGTATCATCGGGCATGAAATAGACGCTGGTTTTATCGGTAAAATATTTTTTCCTACGCAGAGATCGATGTCAGGGGAAACTGTTTAACCGGGAAAATATTCCATCAAGCACCATGCCAATCGTTGTTGTTGTACATCGCAAGTATATACTGATGGTTACTGTGGATTTGAATGATTTTTCATTCTAACTATGTACGTGGAAACGACGTGTGGAGCCGGCCTAATTCATTTCCTTACATTATTAATATACAAGCTTTTCATGCAAAAATAAGTTTGATCACGGATTCCCGGCATGACATTTGGCAACACAAAATTCGTATCTTATAGTAATAAGTGATCTGTGTGGAGCCGGCAACGTTTCTGTTGAAGGTTTTCTAGATCGGACTTTTGCTGAGTTGTTATTCTTGTTGGCGTAGTTGGTGTTATATTTTTGCTGTGACAAAAATCGATTTTCTCCCCAACCAATGGACCAACCGATTTAACATTTTTATTTATTAAAGATGAAAGAAGTTAATAGAAGACTAATACTTTTCTTTTTTTACAATTGTTTTTAGTCCGACGTGTCCGACTTGTACCTCATTTGTAAAAGAGTGAACAGAGCAGCACCGGGCCAAGTTTATTAAGAAATGCTACATAGTATATAACACTAATAAGCCAAATTGCCAGTTTTATACATAAATTGAGGCGATGTTGTTTCATGCTACACCTATGCCGGCAACATTAGTTAATCTATTTTGGTATAGCTTTGTCTACATAGCATTGCTTTTGTCTGCCATACCTTTTCATGTAGCACATCACATAAAGAGATTGTGTACGACAGGGTCGGGTTCGATTTTTCATACTTTCCCTGTGAGAGAAAGCCTAATACGATTGAATAATATAGTGGGCCAAGCAAAGTTTGTCCTCCGGTTACAGCTGGTTCAAGTAGGTTACAGGTTAGCTATATAAATATATATATGCTGGACAATACAAAGATACACAAATAATATTTTAGGAATTTGTTGGCTAGTTTGTAAAATATTTACAACTGTCTGTTTGAAATCGATCTTACATAAATTTAAACACGAGTTCCAATTCATATAACATAATTTGAATCCAATCAACACTGTCGATATTATTTATATGCATTTTATATTGATTTTCACTCACATCCGACAATTTAATTTATTTCAGTTGTCGAACTGATGCACGTGAAGAGTGTCGTGTTCCACTCCGGAAAGGAAATCAAAATAATTAATAAGTTGACAGAGATAGCAGTTTTCATACTTGTGTTTGTGGAATTTCCGGCAATCAAAATCGTGAAGGGAGCAGGTGAATGGCATATTAAGGTCGCGCAAAAAGCCCTCGTCAATATAGGCGCCAAATTATCAGCAGCGTTACCGCCAACTGAACAGTCTCAGCACCATACCCTGAATAACTACAGAAGAAACGTTAAAGATGACGAACGTAACTGGAATAGGTATTTTTGATCCCAGCGTTTCGGCATCCCTTTTATGTAACTTTGTGATGGAAGCCAAGCACGATGACCACTTAATTGCCAATCAGAATGGATGTAACCAAGACGACCACCAATATGCCCACGACACGTGTTTTGGAGTTCGTTAAATGTTTGATTGCGGGAATACTATAGATCAGGGTGGTCCAAACGCGGGCCGCATGCGTCTTACTATTACGCCTTACGGTATTAAGAGATCATGACATCATGCATTGAATTTACTAAACAATTTTACATTTCCTGCAGACACTACACTGTGACAAAAACGCGCAATGCTTCCATGTAATTGCATTGACAGCTTTCACGTTAAAAGACATTCGATATAGTTAATTCATACTCTAGGTATAGATAGTCCATCTATAAGTCATGACTGGAGGCGATTTAAATTTTGTTATACAGTAAAAAAGGGCATGTTATTTAATAAAACATCATTATATTCTTGTTTTTATAGTTAACATGCTTGGCACACAATGAAATGACTCATTTTTATGTCACCATATTCAACGAGACGAGGTTTGAGATTTTTCATCGAGCTGCAATGCCGCATCTGAAGATCAGTACAGTTATTGTCATACTGTTAATCTTAACAGCATATTATATGACACTATTACTTCTGTGGTCATTGGAAAGACAGCCAGTTACAATTAAAATTTCGAGTATGAATTTTTATTTAACAAATGCCAGTAGTTTTGACTAAGATTGAGAATTTTCTGTACATTTTATAGCTGACACGAAAAAAGTATATATATACTCTGCAGAATTGAAAACGGTTGATTGTGTAATCAACCACTTTGTAACACTGAATGATACAATAATTACAAATCAGCATTGCTTTAAAAAAATACAGTTCTCTTGAATTCTCAATACTATATTTTGATGCGAATTTGTTCATTGATATGTGATATATCACTCAGTTATGAATGGCATTAGAAGGGCCATGCTTTTTGTCGAGTTATTTTCTGATGAGGTCAAGATATTTTATGATATGAACATACACTGGATGATTTTCGAATTATCGTTTGAGGAAAGTTTCAAATATTTTTAAGATACTCAATTGCTGGAAAATCGACAGGACGTAGGGCATACCTTCCAGGAAGAAATAAAATCCGGAGTGAACAGTTTGCATGAAGAAGGATTGAAAAATGTTAGTGATTCATTCTTTATTTGTATATATATAATTTACAATGTACAATAAAGTACAATAACAATCTGAAGATTTTGAAGGTTTTACCAATATAAAGGACTTTTTATGGGATCTAATATTATTGTCATTGTCCATATGGCCTGAACGATATGACTGCATTACAATTCGATAATATTGGATTTCCTAAGCAGTCGCAGTATAGGTTATCATCAACAATTAGATTTTTCTTCAATCAGGATACATCAATTGACTTTTGTCAAATCCTGGAACACGATTTAGACTGGAAGATGTCTTCATTAGAACCATTAGTTACTTTGGATCCAAATCGATTTATGTATACAGCCATAATAAACGGACCAAGTAATGAATTGATGGGATTGCAAGAGGCAATATTTGTTGCCATAAAAACCAACAGGTATATTTTATATGTTTTCATGTCTGTGCTTCAGGGACTAAAAATATGTTTACAAATCTTATGTATCTGTTTGGTGTACAATCAGAACGCTTGTTGTACCGCCGTTCAAACCTCATTTCAAAGACAAAGACCGTGGAACCGCGGGACTTGTGCCTACTGGAATGAGAGTCGACGTTCAAATGATTTCACGATTGATTTCTGTTGCTACTATAAAAGATATGAAACGAAAATGTGATTCACGATTTGATATTGGATTCCAGGTAAATCAAATTTGTGTTGTAGATCCTAAAGTTAAATTATGGTTTCTCAATCTGATGTCAATATAGCAACAATGAATTCGAGACACGCAGAAATGAACAAATAGTAATAACAAAAAAAAAAATTTTGCTATCAATAAAATTCAAATAAGATGAATTAGCTGAAATCAAATTACCGATCAAAGAGGTTTGGTCAAATTAGGATATCTGTTTCCGAGATAAAGATATCCAAATATTTTATAGTGGCATTACACTGTTTTTTTTTTAGTCTAGTAAAAATCATGCCAATCGAAGATGCGCTGAACTTGACAATTGATGAATAACAGTAATTCATGTAATAATTCCATGCCTCATGATTTCCAGACAAAGAAAGTTGCGTGCGGATTTGAGAGATATGTTAATAAAACATGTGGAATGTTACTGGAGTCACGCTATTCAAGCCTCATCAAAAAAGATCGAGAATATGAGACAATTCGATACAGAAAGAGCAAAAACTGTACAACAACTGTATCACTACCCATCCGACGTATTCCAGTATCCGGAATGCACCCGGATATGGTTAGGACCAAGTATATGTAAGCATTGTTAGATTCATATAAAATATTATTCGGCATTTACTACCTCTCCTGTATATTCTTCCTTCTTCCTTATAACCCTTCTCACATTTTTTGATTCATAATATGTGAAGGTCTCATCTGCCATGTGGAATTATGATAAACACCTACAAAAGCTTATTGAGGCCCATCACTAATCTCGATGAACAACTTTTGGAACAAACGCAAAAAGATCCGACCACATTGAAATCAAATAACCTGAAACTCACATCAAGCGAAACTCTTATGAAAATAATTGAAATTTTTACACAAAGACCAAAATACGTCAGAGATATCGCTCAGAAGTTTGTAAAAGAGATTCTTCAAAATTCCGAATACATTGCTTTTCATTGGAGGTGGGTTGAAGTCTTATTTTGTAACGTGCTGAAGAGCCAATTTATCAGTGAAATATTAAACACAAAGATAATAATGTTGTTCGTGTTTCACATAATGGATAAACTTCGTATTAGTATAATAATGTTCGTTTAATTTTTCTGTTTTTGTTTTGTATTATAATCCGGGCATGGTAATGTAACCCAATGTGATATTCACTAAAATATTTTGTCGTTATGATTTGAAGAGTATATATCTATATTTCTCTATGTGATAGCCGCGTTGTCGATTTTCATTACTTCAGAGAAATATTATGTATAAATTGTAATGTATAAAATCTTATCTTGCGTTTGCATTAGATCACAGATGTTGAAGTAAAAAATCCAACAATATGATATTCAATGAAATCTTTATTCAAAATACATCATATAGATACAACAAAGAGTGGAAATTTTCGTACTGCAATCCAGATCGAACAAGACTACAATTTTGCCGAAAACTGGAACGGATGGAATCTTCCGATCTCGCATCAGCTACTCTTCTCCTAACCAAAGACTACATAGAAAATATGGTACGCAACAGTAACCTGCTTCGAAACTCGCGTGGTGTTTTTTTTCGCAATGATTTTCTAAACTCAAATCTTCGAATTTTGTCTGCCAGAAAACTTTATTTTACGTTATATATATTTATACTTCATAAGTGTGCGATTCTAATCTTTTTTAAATATTTATTTTGCCATATATATATAAGATAATTAATTAACTGCTAGGTGAGCGTTATCAAGAAGATCGCCGTACTACTAACCAATAACACCAATGTTATACCGAATACCGTGCTCTTACATACGTTTATCTTTCACAGCATCCCAATTTCTACAAGTCCAAATGTCTGAAAAGTGTTGTTGTTAACGTTTACTTAGCATTTGCTACCGATGACCATGTAATAGTGAGTGCACTTGTAAGTCTTGCATGCAATGAAATTTAAATTGATTCTTGTCGGAAAGGTATAAAGATGTACTTTTTCGCTATGTCTCAATGGAACGCTAGATATTTTTTTTCTGCATATCCGACCAATATTATAATCTACTCGAAAGAATTTGATTTCATAGAACAAGAATTAAGCATTTTGTGCGGCCCCCCGCTTTTGAAGAAAGTTGTGGAAATTTCTCACAATTGCATACAAAATTTAGATTTATCTTTAAACTTTATGTAAAATATCTAAATTCTAAACTGTCTATGTTTTTACTCTGTCGTCTGATATACTTATTATTAAATTTAATTCGGGATATTTTACGAAATAAATTTTAACTATAGGTACAAACTATATGATATGGTCTTTTGAAAAAATTGAGAAAACTACTTTTGTTAATGCTACCCCCGACAAAAACCTTTGCCCACCTTGTACCAACATTGTAGTTTATTATGCCCACAGGTATAGCGCTGTAAGCACTGTATTGGTCAGTTGAAAAATTCTCTCGACATTCGTTGCAAAAAATCTAGATCGAAGTTATAATATGAATTATCCACAATCATATATATACGTACAACAAAACACAATTCAATTTTTTGTGTTGAAGGTCAAACAGCAATCATTGGACAAAAGCTTTCAAAACGATTTCCTGAACAAATTATTCTTGGAAAAAAATAAAAGCAAATTGGCACGCTTTAAAGACGATAAATGCTGGAGAATAAGAGTTTTTAACAAAGTCGACTTGATGCAATTTTTGGTAGAAAATTATCCAAAAAGAAAATGCTCAGTGATATGGAGGGACACTCATGAGTTGATCTCTTTAATTGAAAACGAGCTTTGTCGCAAAAGCACTGTTTTTGCGTATTCACCATCGTCGTCATGGTCAGGAGTTGCCTTGCAAACTCGTTGGAATGAAAGTAAACATTCTAATATTGCTATTTGGAAGGTTTTAGACGAATTACAGAAATAAGGATGTGTTTCCAATTGCTATTTGCATTGCCTCCTCCATAGAAGATTATTGGGTTGCAATATAGACAGTGGTTTGGACGCCATAATAGATATTCAGCATTTAATCAAGATTAAATATTACTAAGAATTTGGTCACGGACTTCAAAAATAATAAACAATTCATTGACGGTCATCGAAGTCGCTTTTTAAATAGCTATTCCAGCTTCTGTCAACGCGGATATATCTTGATATCCATTCGGGTTTAGAGTGTAAAATCTCCATAAATCTTCACACATCTGTTGGTGAGTTCGCTCCGCCTTCCAATCAAGATCTCTTTCGGCTTTACTTGTATCGGAAAAAATTGCTGGAACGTCTCCCGGCCTTCGATCACATATTTGTAAGGGTATTTCCATACCACATGCTTTCTCGAACTCTCGTATCATATCCCACGTAGATTTTCCTTTGCCAGTCCCAATGTTATAGACAGAAAGGCCCTTTATAAACTAAAAGTATATATATATATATATATATGTGAGATGTGCTTCACGCTTCCAACAAATGAAGAATTTTAACAATAGCCTCACTACAATCAGCCCAAATACACATTATTGCTACATATAATGGATGATCCAGTGCCTTCTCTCTATTATTAAATTAAAAAAAAAATTAATTATATCTTTGAGAAAATAATATTAGCAACAAGATAACAATACTACGAGAATGAAAATTTGACTTGTATTTCAAGATACGAGTACCTTCGTATTTTACGAACAGAATTGCTATTGTTACTCACGTCTAACTTATTTATAGCACTACAATGTGCCTTTGCAACGTCCATAACATGCACGTAATCCCGTATTGGTGTCCCATCCGTAGTTGAATAATCATTTCCATACAAATTCAGAATAGGTCTTTTTCCAATTGCAACCTAGTATTTTTAAATATATATACGGTAATATAATTATACATTAACATATAGCATCAATTTATTTATTCTATAGACCAATATATACCAACAAGTTGCATTGATTCCAAAGACTTACTTGTGCCAGCTTTGGCAATAAATTTTGTGGATCTCCTTTTGGATCTTCACCTAGCAGTCCGGACTCGTGAGCTCCAACAGGGTTGAAGTATCTCATGATAACAATTTTCCAATAATCAGGCGCACCAATTGTCATGTCTTCAAGCAAACTTTCACAAAACAACTTGCTTTTGGCATAGGGACAATGGCACATGCCCACTTGGCCAGTCTCTTTCATAGGCAAGGTCTTGGGATCAGGCGCTCCGTACACAGTACATGAGCTACTGAATAGGAAATTCTTGACGTTATGCTCTTTCATGCAACGAAGAAGTTGCATAGTCCCTGTAATAATAAATTTCGATTGTGGTAAGAAGCGTCAATGACAATGTAAATATAACATCAAATTTTTGCAGTAATTTGAGCCTTTTTAAAACATGCTTTCGACTTTTAGACGTCTGAAATTGGAAATACCCTAATTCCACCACCACCGAAATACCTGAACTTCGACGCGCCGGCACTGATTTAAGAGAGCAGAAAGTGGGAAAAAATCGAACCAAATTTGCGGAACTAAGACGGACACAGTCACACAGGCAATAAATTTGAACACAATACTTTATGCTACTTCCCAAGGACATTCGACATTCGGGCAGGGGACTTGATTTAGGCTATATGATCTACAACACGTGATGTTGGATATACATGGACCTACATTTTTCTCTTTTATACCTAAAAATACACCGGTACCTACCAGTCAAGTTGGTTTTGTAGTAGAGCATAGGCATTTTTGTGCTTTCCCCGACTGCTTTTTTACCAGAAAAATCGCACACTGTATCAATGTTGAAGTTGTCAAATACAGCACTCAAACTTGCCTTATCACATACGTTTACTGAAAAAAAATGTTGTTAATTTACCATAAGTTCGCAAAATAATTTCGAAATAAACAAAAGTAATAAACTTTCAGCAAAAAATACAATCTTCAACCGATGAACATTTCGAAGCAATTGGTCCAGTAGTTGATGAGGGAGGTGATTTTTTTCATAATAACATGAAAAAGAATTCTAACAACAACAATACCATAATAACAAATATGTACATTTCGTGTCCAACAAGCAAATGATAGATGAAATTACATATATAAACTGAATACAAATTCGTGTTGGGTTGTTTTAAATTATACACTGCGAAAATTTGTCATATGTTGACGTACCATTGGCATAATGAAGACATTCTTTTCCACTGATTTGTTTTACTCGGACTAACGACGGAGGGAATTCATTTATATCTTCTGAATTTTCTTGGCAATTTGACAAGTCGTCTACGACGACAACCCTGAAAGTTGAGTAAAATGATAAAAATGCATTGTCTGACTGCCTTTGATGAATTATTCGAATACATTTGAAAATTTTGACAGATTAGCAATATATACAATTGTACTCTTATGGCCAATGCAATACAATACAATTTTATTTCGATCTTTCGTCTACAACACAAATAAAAAGAACACACCCAAGGTCAACTGAAAGATCGGGAAAATGGGCAAAACCTATATAAAGGTTTATAACGAACGCTGTAACCAGCTATTGTGCCCATTCACCCACACTCACACACGTGAAACACACCAAGACAATCATACTAGAATAAATTAATGAACAGAGTACATGATCACGAGAAAATAAATTTCACAGGCAAGGCTTAATGTTGTAAATAATTTTGATGAGTGAAAGTCGTGATTAATACAAAAACATTTAGAAGTTATGTGACGGTGACGGTGCCTGTGCCGAAATGCGAATACCAATAATAACAATTAATTGATTAGCTGATGTTTTTAGTAAACAAATAAAACTAAAAAGTAAACAACAAACATAAAAACACGAAAACTAGTTTCGGGCGTTGCTTCTCATGTTGCAAAATTGGTTCGAATTCGTAGAAATTGGAGTAAATGTTTTTATTCTTTGCAACGTCCAACATTCCGGAGCTTCCATCTTGTTGTGTTGAACATCGATTGTTTCTATGAATTGTTTCTCTCGCATGAATTTACTGACCAATCCAGTGTCGGCAGCTAAGTCGATTATTTCTGTTTCCTCGAAGCCCCTTAGATTCAATCACTTGTTACAAGTGATCAACGCAATTCTTATCAAAGCAGCTCCAATGTATAAAAGATATAAAAGCTAGTCTGTATTCAATCCTGTTTTCCAAGTTTTAGTCCAAATATTTTTTACTCCCACGTCCGCACCCGACGGCGGGTGCATAGTTTTTTTCAGTTATTATTAGTTCAGTTATTCTTAATACAACCAAATACTCCAATGTTGTATTTACTGAAAGAATAGCAGCTATATTGTTCAAATCCGTGAACTTTTTAATTCTTCATTATTCCGATATTTACTATTGTTTGGTTGGTACGTGATTTACACATAGTCATACTATGGAACAGCAACAAAGTTGGAAAATATAATTATTATATATATTATTTATGTAATTAATAACAATCATTTAAAAGTTTTTTTCAATCAATTGTCAACTCAAAGTGCCGTTGCTCAATGACCAGCCAGCCTTGAGCCTACTGACATCCACAACTTCGACGTCAAATATTTGTTAAATACTTTCAATTAGGTCCACCAATACCAGAAAAAATCAATCAAATACACAACATTAAGCTAACACAAAACCTAGGAGGACAAGCAAAACTTAGAAATACCATGCAGTGCGCGATCATCAACAATAAACAGGACAAATGAACAAAATCAAAGCGTTGAATATTATGAATGTGGATATTATGCTCACAGATGTTAAAGAGTGTTAAAACAAATATGTAGGGGTAACGAGCAATGCATGTTAGCTGACAAGTAATGAGAATTTTCGATTTTGAAGATGGCAAATTTATTAAAAGCCCTAGCATACGACCCTTCTATTACCATTTTTAAAAACGATTGGTTAAATTTTAATTATTACGTCACCTCTCGATGTAATACTGATTAGTCATTGTCACGGAAAACAAAATGAAATTGGAAGTCGCAAAACATTCATTCTGGAATCTTGTAATATTAACTAAGTTCGACTTACCGGTGACCAGCGTTCAAAAGCTCCACGACGGCATGAGATCCCAAATAGCCAGCACCCCCTGCTACCAGTATAGTTTTTCCCGTCGACCCCATAATCTACAAATTGAAATTTAACTGAATTCTTATGCTGCAAAGTAGAATGTAAGTTGTTCCAAGAACTAACGCGAGTGAAATAAAGCTAAAGATAAACTGCCTCAGGCTATTTTAATACTTCAAATTACGTACATATACATTTATAAACATCAAAATGTTTCCAAAATTTTTATTCTCATCTAAACACCATATGACAATTTCCAATTTAAAGACATTGAACATACGATAATCAACGAGCTTCGGCGTGGGTCAGTAAATTTCAGGATCAAGTTTCACTTCGCCCAGCAGCTAACAGGTAATTTCTCAGCTTCTCCCACGTTGCCACTTCTGAGGCTGCATTAGGATTATACGCATAGAATAATCAACGATGGGGTGGAAAGGGCGCTACTGAAGCAAAGCATAACAATTGACAATCATTCCTCAATCTTGTCTTCGCCTCAATAGTATTTCTGGCTCTTTTATCATCAGAGACTTATTGGGAACACTGTAAAAAACACGTGTGGCGTCATTTGTGATAATATGCTGTCAACTAGAAACGAAAGTCAATGGGCAAGTTTAGCGTTCGAAGTTTTGGTGGCTTTCCCGAATTTTTGACCCGTGTTTTTATTTTGTGTGTATATGTGTGTGTATAATTTCAGGCAGACTAATTCTGTATTTGCAGAACTTTATAAATGTTTGAATGCCGGAATATGTTGTTGCTCTGTATTAGTAAGACTGTTGCTGTACACAGACAGGCAGACATACCGTAGGAAAAATATAAAGGTCTGAAAGTAGACCTGCAGGTGACTAGACCTCTGGACCTAGTGTTCTTTCTTACTGCCGTCCATCAAGATTATTCTTAATTAAGGTAGACTGTATTAGGGTAGTTCGTGAATTTGGGGTTCTTCACACTTACAGGCTGCACCCTTCAGCCCTTTCGAACTTAATTTTCCAAACTCAAAAAATGATCCCGGTACTGCAGTACTGTATTTATGAGATTCGAAGTCAATGCTCTTGTTAAAAATAATTCGACACTACTTCCAAAGCTGCTAGATGTGTGTTTCGTGTTTACAGGCCTTTTTCAGTTCCAGTGTTTTCAATTATTTATTTTGAAATCAAAATTTGTAGGGTGGCTTACCCACTTTGCGGCCAAGACCTATTTGCGACCATCAACTTCATCGATTCAATTAATGCCGAAAAAATTAACGAAACGAGACGATATTTCTCACGCGTTATCGTCCACTTATCCCTCGTAGCTCTGCGAAATTACACTAAAATGCGGCCACAAACAAAAACGGACCATTTTTCCATGTCGCCAACTGCCCATTGTCCCTTTGTAAAAGCTTGAAAATCCATACAAATATAAGAGATAAAAAGATGAAACTTGGCAGGTGGGTAGAGTTCTGTTTCTTTTAACCATCTTTAAAGTTTCGCGTTTCTACATTTGAAGGATGGGGAGTAGGGGGGTGCGCATTTCCAATACATCGATATAAGCAGAATAGCATTGTCGACCACCGTGTTTTTGTTTGTTTGATTGCTGTAATGCGGTGCTTTGTTTATAATTCTGTAATTTGACGAGTTTTGTTCGAAATAACCTTGTTCTTAAGATATATGACAGTCAGAAATGCAATTAGAAGCTAATTAATTTTTTTCACGCATGGCTGCGTATGCCCTAGTCTCGACGCAGCAGAAATGATGTTCAAGGCTTGAAATCCGTGGTCGCACACTGGTCATTCGGTCGCAAATAGGTTTTCAGAGTGTCATACTTTGGTGGTTTGTATAGCTTTAACCCCTGGTCGTAGAAAGTTAATTCGAGGTTTAGCGTGTAGAAGAAATGCCCATGCACCTACGGTGAAAAAATTAACAGGTTAGAAATATTGGTTTTTGTTTTATAGCGGTTTGAATGAAATCGTCCGCAGACTGGCTACACCATCCTACTCTCGATTCCCTACAGTTTGTCAGTATGTTAAATTTTATCACGGCTCTACCCCCACATTTTGACATTAGGATAGGGTAGGATTTACGTACTTATCCCGGGGGAGAGGGAAGTCGATAAGACTGCTCAATCATATGGCGAACCATGGCCCTTGTCCAGTTTCCATGTCGGGTATGGGATTAGTTAGTTATTTGTTTTCGGAAGCATGGACTTGATGGTGGAGGAAGCCGTAACCGACCACTCTCGCACATTACAGCCTTATAGACTAACCATCCCCGCATGCCACACAGAGTAATCAAAGGTGGCGAGCGTATTCCTAAGTCTTAGCACGATGACCCACACCGCCGCGCCAGTCTACAGACAATACATGTCTAATAGTTGAAACTTAAAGCGCATGATTACCATTCTTAATATTTAGCAGTAGTGCTAAACATATTCTGGTCATATTTTATAACCGACTGAAATGGATGTTGAAGAATCATCCTCTGTAGCTACCTCTTCGAAGAAATCTGTCATGGCAGCAACAGGAACATCAGCAAGTGTTGCAGTGCAACTACACCCATTGGTTATCATGAATATTTCTGAACATTGGACTCGAATTCGTGCGCAGGAAGGACAGGCAATACAAGTACTTGGTGCACTAATTGGGAAGCAAACAGGAAGAAAAGTTGAAGTCATGAATTCATTTGAGTTGCTCTATACACAAAATAGTAATACTGGTGAAATTGTAATAGATAGTGATTATTATTATACCAAAGAAGAGCAGTTCAAACAAGTATTCAAAGATTTAGATTTTTTGGGATGGTATACCACAGGTGGATCACCAACTGAAGCAGATTTGAAAATACATAAACAAATGTGCGGCATAACAGAATGTCCGATTATTGTAAAACTTAATCCTCAGGCACTCTCAAGTGATTTACCAATAAGTGCATTCGAATCAGTTATCGATTTGGGTGATGGTGAAGCCCAAATGCGACTTGTAGAGTTGCCATATACTCTAGCAACAGAAGAAGCTGAGAGAATCGGTGTCGATCATGTTGCGCGTGTGTCAAACGTTGAATCTGGATCTCTTAATTCGTCAGCTGCTGATCATTTACAAAGCCAACATAATTCCATATCAATGTTGCACACACGAATTTGTTTTCTACAACGTTATATTCAGGTAATTTCTTCCTTTTTATAAAGCGTGAAATAAATTTTGTCAAAGGTAGCATTACTGCATATTTTCCGAAGTAACGTGTTACTTGTCGCACAACTGGCTTAGGCCAGCAAGGTCTTGTAAATGTATCTTGTTGTCTCTGTTATATTTTCTAGGTTCACCCCAGTTTGTACAAGGTTATCTCAGCTAGACATCTACTATTTGAAATTAATGGTTTATCTTGTTTGAGTCTGATGGTCAGCGTGTTACATATTTTCAGTTCAAATTGTTTCATTTACAATTTTCAAATCTATTAAATTTACAGGCTGTGAAAGAAGGAAAACTACCACACAACCATGAAATAACACGAGAAGCTTATGCTCTATGTCATCGATTGCCAGTATTAGATTGTGACATGCTTTCAAAGGATTTGTATGATCAGTATAATGATGTTACATTGATGACATATTTAGGGGTAATAAGTAAGGGCTGTCACACAATGAATCAATTTATTTCAAAATTTAATGTAATGTGTGACAGACAAGGTGTTGGAAGAAGAATTCGAGGCCTGTTTCCATGAACAATTTGTAATTCAACGATTTATTTTCATTTTTTTGTTCTATCTGAACTTGTAATAAATATATAGCATTATTATGAACAAGTTGTATTCAGGTTTGTTAGATTCCAGAAATTTAATAAGATTTCTCAAGCACTTTTATAAATACAAAGCAGTGAGTGCCATTGTTTTGGCACAGACCTCGTTCATGGGTAGGAAGGGCGTCTGAATTGGATTTAACCAGTTTTCCATATCTTGTCTCTTCTTCAGTCACGATTTTATGGAGATGCTGCGTGGAACTTCAGTACAAATCGGCTAGAACCCTGGTTAAAAACTAATTTTAAGCCAACCGGTGATTAGATTGAAAAATTATACAAATATATACGCTAGCTAACTAACAAGCACTCGTAATTTGATCACCTAGAATTATGGGAAATAAATGTTGGCCCTGTGAATCTGTTATATTTACTCTTTGAGCCCTGCAGCATTTCCCGGACCTTGTCTACCCTGCCACATAAGACCACAATCTGTCTGGCCACTTGGGGAGAAGATTTATTTATAAGCAAAAACAAACTAAAGAAAAATATTTTCAACTGAATCGAGAAAGAGGAACATCATCATAGAGCCATTCAAGGTCTGCATTCAATCCCACCCGCTCTTTATAACGGGTCTCTATGAGCCTGTTCTTTTGTTTGTTGAGTACTGATCTTGCGCTCAACGTATGAGCAAGATCTCCATCTGTAAAGTTGAAACAGGCAGCTAATTAGGTGACTGTTATGCGAAAGATAGAAATTGATTGGTGCAATGACACTTATTAGAATTTGGATACCTGTTGTCGGCCATATTTACATAACTAGCAATTAGGAATTTGTCTTCTTTCGCTTAAAAAAGGTGTATGCGAAACCTGATATTGTCTACATAATTTTGTTGGCATTCAATTGCTGCAGAAAAATTTAACACTTGTGGGCAATTTTTACATTCACATTGACAGGCAAGTTTTACAAACAGATATTTCAGTAGAGCTTCATTATGTTTAAAGTTTGATATTTATCAACGCATGGTATACACAGCTGTCGTCAAAGTAGCATTGGTTACCCAAAAACTTACATTTAATCATCCAATTTTTTTTCATTTCCTTGTATTCTTTGATGAGAGGTTCACACACGTCACCATATACGATAGGATTAGAATGGCAACAAGTTTCCATGTCCTTCTTTAAAATTTCAAGTATTTCTGTTTCCACAAGTCTGAAAAATCAATGCACTTTATATTCTCAACTCAGATTCGCTCAAGTACCAGTTCATGTCAGATTACTGTACTTTACAGACCATCAAGCGTAAATTACTTAAATTGTGGTTTCGTCCATATATAAGGCGCACCGGACTATGAGACGAAGTGGTTTTTGTGGAGTAATTTTCAAGGACCCATTTACAACGCTCATTAAACAAAAAAAATAAGTTTTTTTTTATGATTAATATATTTTATTCAAAGAAAATGCAAAACAGCAGCATGTTTATGAAACAATAGTACCTGTACTGGTTTAGAGTGTGAGCAATTAAGCACTACCTGAGACGCACAATCGATTTTTGAGAAAAAGGGATTTGAAGTGCGCCTGATGGTCAGTAAATTACAGTAATAGTATTTATAAGAGACAAAGGCTGATATTTAAGCTCAAAATGAAGAATGTCTCACTTGTCACGTCTAAATTGTATTTCAGCTTCGTAAACGCATGTGCTGTCATTCAATTCGCATTCCCATATTTCAGGAACTCTCCTAAATTTACGATGATAATAAATTCTGTTACTTGGTCCTCGAAAGTTTTCCAATAGACCTGTATTCAAATAGAAAATGATCAAGTTGTTCCTGTTCAAGGTCTAGATTCTAAAGCATTGAAAAAACAGCCTTTCTAAAACGCTCCACTACCTATGACGTTAATTTTCAGCTAGTAATAGAAATAGCAGATAAAATTCCTTCGAAATGCAATCACCTTGGGTAGTTGACCTTGCTAATGCCGGGGTATACATCGTCATACATTATTGAATCCTAGTCATTTTTAAAATATTATTGGTCCAAATAATTCTTCCCAGGTAAAAATGTTGCTTTGTATTTGCAGTAGTATCGCTAATGTTGATTTTTTATTATTACTGAAAAACTGATTTATGAATACCCAATAATCTGGACAAAAAACGGGAGTGCCACTTGCATATAGCTCTAGCAATGGATTCGTTAACGGGAAGGCAGGAACAAATAGTTCTAAAATAGGCAAAGGGAAGAATTCAACGAAAAAGGTTGTGAACCGCTGGTTCAATGCAAGATAAAAACTTTGGGTCAAGTTGACTATTATTTATCAATGAGATTAATTTGGCTTGATATTCCCAAGGACTCATGACTAATTAATAGAGAAATATTCATACCTTGAACTGCAACAATAGGTTTGGCGTAGAAAAAGTCAACTAAAGAGCCAACAAAATATAGAGGATTAAATTTGCTCTTGAATTCAATCACAGGAAAGGTTTCTTTTATCTCTTCAGATTTAAACTTTGCCTCTTTCGCAAGATCACGTTTAGGTTGGACACCGGGAGGTCTAACGTTGAAAAAACAAAAATGAATAGTTTTACATGGGTCCATTTCCATGTTGGAATGAAAATTTTGGGATTTGGTCTATTTCAGTACCGGTACCTACTTCATACAGTCATAGCATCTCTACTACTGAAAATCAATAAAGACACTAATAAAAAGTGCAATTTTCTGAAATATACAATTGTAGGTTTATATTCGCTCTGCATTAGTCAGCAAGTTTACAAACCGACCAGAAGGTCAAGTTTGATTCGCATGTATTTATTATTAAATAAATTAGGTAGAACTGATTAATATTAAAGGGATAGGATCTACATAGTCTATTTATGACGTAAGACGATAAGTTATAAGACAGTATACAAAAAATGCACTTACAGATCGCGTTCTTCCGGCATCTCAAAGTATTGCAGTTTTTCTCAACCCGAAATCGCAAACGCACGGGAATGTCGAATCCGCGAATTTCCACAATCGACAGAATTACATTGAAAAATATATACGCGGTAAAAAATACGTGCTCACAAAATTATTTTCAGTAGTGCAATGAACCTTTCCCCAACCTTTGACCCCCGGAAAATTCTTCCTATACTTTACCATTGCAAAATTTTCGATGCTTATTTCGAGAGTTTGCGCCTGTAAAATCGGGTATTTGTTTTAAACCATCATTCTGATTCATAGCATTAAACAATCGGTTTTTTAAAAATACTGGTAAAAACTTTTACCCTAGTCTATTGCTATTTCTACACTAATTTTTGATAACTGCAATTAAACTATAAAGTGATTGCTATTTCTACACTAATTTTTGATAACTGCAATTAAGAAGATAAAGTGATCATTGATTTACTTGATTTATTTTTAAATTTCCGAAACACAACTGAAAATTAACGAATAGACTTCAAAAACGCGAAAACGAGGTAATGTTTACGACTTCGCCTGAAAATCTGTCTGAGTGAGTAGTGTTTCTGAGCGGATGCAAAAAGGGGCATTCTTACGTTGGTTTTGAACTTTCTCTGTCATTCCCAGTTTAATTTTTAAACATAAAAGTCTGCTTGAACTATATCCTCTGAAGCACTTGAAGTCGGGAAGTGTTGAAGTTTCATTTCATCGCAATAGATGATGATTAATATATTGCAGTATTCTGGAATTGTTTACACACTGAACATTATTTTGTGAAACTAATTTTCTGAAAATTATAGAATTTTAGGGATTATGGGAAAATAATATTTAGTCGTATTAAGTGTTAGGAATACACTTGCTATCGCACCTTTGACAGTCTGATTTCCCTGCGTTGGTTCGCAGGTTCGATTTCCATGCTGTGTATATTATCGTAATAGTTGATAAACCGGATGACCGTACATTCGACCCCACGTACATTTGAACCCGTGTGTATATCCGCGGGTTCAATCTATACGCGGGTGCTAAAACCCATGGGTTAGGGTTAGTATGGGTTCAAATATCCGTAAAACAAAAAAAAATTCTATAGGTGCAATAGTATGCAGTTGCACTTGTCATGGGTTCAAATGTACTTGGGTTCAAATGTAATGGGACCGATCAACCGGTTTCATGATATGGTGAACGCAGCAGCGTTTCGCCAGGATAGCGTACCAGTCCATGTTGAGTATGGGATTAGATTGCCAATTATTTGTTTCGGAAGCATGTAATTTATAGTAGAGCAGGCCGTAAACGACCAGCGGTTGTGACAGAGGTGTGTTTGTAACTTAGCGGGGTTTTTAGGCGATGGCGTTCGACGGTAATAAACTGTGTAGAAAAGACCGTCTACTTCCTCGCTAAACCACAATTTAATTGACTTTTGAAAACTGACCAATACTTGGCTATTCTGTTGCCCAGTACACAGGTTTACAAGATAAGCAGTCAAGTATTCACGGTGTACTTTTGTATTCAACGCTCGGATACGATATCAAGACGTCATAGTCAGAGAACAAAAAAGACAGTGTGCACGATGCAACAGACACGACTTAAAAAAGGACAAGCAATTAAAAACACGTGACAACACAACAAACGCGCAACGCAAAACCGCCACACGATGGAGTGAACGTAAGACTACGTATTACGCTAAAATTTGTAACGTAATAGGATTTTCAGGTGATGTCGTTCGACGGTAATAAACTGTGTAGAAAAGACCGTCTACTTCCTTGCTAAACGTCATCGTGAGTCCCCGTGACGATAAAACAACTCTCATGGTGTCATGTTTGTTTTTGCTCTTCAGCAATAAAGAATTCTTCCAAGCCAGTTAAGTATACCTTGTTCATCTGCCTCCCTTGATGATTGCCTATGATATCCATAACTATGAGTTACATTCCAAGCTTTTCTTGCAGTATGTATCCAAGAAAAAACTTTTTTTTCAAAACAACTGGGGTCGCTCCGAAAGTATGTGTACCAAGATGGCACACAACCTGATAACCCAAATCTGGTACACATACTATGTTCAGGTTGTGCACCATCTTAGTGCACATACATCGGGAGCACCGAACAGGGTACCATTGGTTGTCGTTTACTGATATTGACCAAATGTAACTATTCTTCATTATAACACCTAGTGTGTCATTCTTATTCAATTTATTGTACCTGTTTTTATTTCATCAATGAGCATCGTCTGACACTTCCCATTGTAACCAAACGGAGAAAGGTCACCTTCAAAATTCCCTAACATCTTCGAGAGCAGCAGTTTACATCAAATAATCCAGCAAAACTCGGGGATTCCCCACCAAGTCGTTTTTCTTGTGACTCTCGGGTAAAAGCAGGATGTAATATAAGTTTTATTGATTTTTCATCTCTAGTATGAGATGTTAGTAAGATAATTCACAAAATTCACACGGTACTCACCGTTAACAACAGTAGTTTCAAATTTTGGATTTTTTATATGGATAATACAATCTTGGGTGTCGCTGCTCGAAAATTAGTTCTCAATCAATCAATCAATCATTTATTCGTCGTCACAAGAACATCAAATGCACAAAAAATGGTACAGGAAATAAATATAATAATAATGATATTTGTGCGACAGGAGTCGCGAAGGACCTTATTAGGTCTTTAATCAGCGACACCTAAAGCGCTGTTACTGGTTCAGTGTAGGCTTGCACGTAATTTACGGATTTACGGAATTACGTAATTATTTGGAGTTACGGAAGGGAAGTTACGAATTACGTAAAGTCGTAATTATTGCATTGAAACGAGCTTTCTTCAAAGCAGTCAATTTCGTCGATTGCGAAAATGAAAGCTCAACAAGTAGAAGAAGTTAGAGTTCCGGTATTCGCAGCCGTTTTTCTCTCTCTTGTTACGTAGGTGAAGGAAGGCATGACGCGTTGCCATTTACTAACCTATTATCAACTTATCTGGCGTGGCCAATGTAAATTATCAACGTAGTTAATGGGGGAAGAACTGAGTAGGGCCGTTTGACGCCAACACACCTGGTTTTAACTTCTCCCGCAACTTAACCGTAGATAAGGGATAGAATTGCGTTGAGACCGATTGACGCCAACACAGCTGGTTTCAACTTCTCTCGCATCTTATCTAGCATGGCCATGGCCAATGTACATAATAACCGTAGATAGGGGGAAGAATTGTGTTAAGACAGATGGACGCTAACACGCCCGGTTTCAACTTCTTCGGGTGAAATGACTAATGAACGCAGGAGATCAATCTATCAAACATTGTCTATCAAACATTTGTATCCATTTTACTTTTATTTATTATTTACTTGTTCCAGTTTTCCGTTACTTATGGTATATATGTTCCGTTTCTATTTTATTCTATTTTATAGTCACGCGTTTGAATAGTGGGAATTCCCCACCAAGTGTGGATTAGCAATGCTTAACCATTCTTTATTGTTAATATCAACACTTGATATATGAACATGAAATATCATATTGTTTTTGGCTGTTTCATTTCAGACTTGGGGTATAAACAGGAAAATATCCATAACCTTTCAACACGACTATCTTGTGAAATTTAACGAAGAGCTTTCGCGACGAATTGGAACCAAATAAGCGAAAAGAGCGATTGATCACTCGCGCCAATACCTCGCCGTGATAATTAATGTCGCGCTTATCAAATAGCAATATGACGACAAAAGAGAGATTGCGTAATGAACCAAAACGACGGATTCCTGCTATCATATATAATCAAATATGAGCCTGTGTGTTTATTCTGTGCGAGATCCATTTTCTATTACAAAATCTTGATGTTCTGATAACGGTTTTATCGTTATATATCAGTCCGGACTTGGCCTTGCTCGTAAGGTTTTTCACAATTCCTCTCAATATTTCGGCCATATATGATTAACTGTCTTACCAAATGCGGCAACTTATTTTGATTTATCGTCGACTTGAATACCACCGGCACTCGACCAAACTTTTGTCAATCTTGGCCGATAGGATCGCCGACTTGAGTTAGCAAATAAATGTTGTGAGTGTAAAATAAATGTCACAAAATGCATTGTTTTGCGATATAACTTTGTATTTTCGGAGAAGGCATGTCATATAAGTTCGGTATTTAAATTATACGCAAATAAATAATATTTGATCTAAATTTATCGCAAATAATGTTATAAACATTCAGTCCGCGAAATGATTGAATGTAAAATGAAGCATGGTAATAGGAATATCGTCAATAAGTCGACATCAATTTTTATTATTATAAAAATGCTAACAAGGCAGTAATGTCGGATAATGCAGAAAACGCTGCAAAAACAAGTCTTCGTCGCGAGGAAATCGCAAGTATAATTAAATGAGAAAATACGCTCGTCGTTGGTTAATAAATTAAAAACCCGTAATTTTTATTCAGTACTCAGGTGGTTTTAAAAAACTATCGTTTCCATAAATATCCGTATACCAGTGTCGGTAATGATAAAATAAAATTGATCGCATAAAAATGGGACGGTTAATTTGCGAAGGTGATAAAGAAAAACTAAAGCTAACACAAAAGATAAAAATCAGAATAAAATTAATTTGAATTCACTCCTTGATAGTTGTCTTTAACATCTGCCGCCGGCGTGTAGTACTGCCAAGAATAGGAAAACCCAACTTCAATGTCCCATTCGGAAAAAAAGTGGATTCAATTGGTTGTTACGATAGGTTTAAATGCGTGGAAAAATATCGCAATTACGGGGTCATTACGTAATTGATTTTGCCGTAATTACGGAATTGATTTTTGTCAATTACGTGCAAGCCTAGTTCAGTGTAAAAAAATAACTACATTTGCTACAAACATTGACCATGCGATAGTCGTTATGATGAACATATTTTGAATCATTGAAAAAATTCGCAGCAAACGCAACTTTACTAAAATCATATAATAGAAAAAAAAAGAAAAACAACTCAAGTATAAATTTATAAAAAAAGGCATATTTGGATAAATGTATATAAGTTACATAAAAGACAAAAGACGAGCGAGGGGAAAATGGTTACACCAAAGACAAAATTGTAAGTGATTAATTGAATAGAAGTCGGAAAGCTCTATTTTGAGAATCATAAAACGTTGATATGTATATATATATATATACAAAACGCTCCACAGTAAGT